AACTTTTTTGCGATGTTGCCCTATCCAACAGCAACTCAATAATGACTTGTACTTACACAACAACTTATATTTCAATGACAACTATATGATGCCTGCATTACTTTTAAGTCATAATCATTATTTGACGCACAATAAAATAACTAAGCAGTGGTGTTGTGAAAACGACAGCGAATTAACGAATAAGAGGTCCAGGTTCGTATTATGTGTGAACATTTTTCTATGTATTAAAAAACAAATTTGTAACTATATAAGTACTTATGTAAGTAGTTAGCTTAAATGCTAATGAATATGTAGTGAAAAACAATTTTTAGCGTTTTAACTTATTACGTTTCAAAGCAAGTTTTTGCTGGGTAAATTAATACATAAGTATATTATCTCGCATTGCGTAGTTAAAGAAAAAAATCCTTGACATTTAAAACAATCAATATTTTATATTTTTTCAATTCATTTCGTTTAACAAAGTTTTAAAAATTTTATTTATTATCTCATAAAAAAATTCCTTTACAGAAATCCTCTTTAGAACCTAAGACCAAATGCAGGTAAATTGTTTTTTATGGTGTGTTAATAATATGCGTGAGTATTTGGTATTATTTAGTCAAAATGAAAAAGGTAAGAATAAATCTCTTGGGTATGATCGCAATGTTTAAGGCATTGAGAAATATTTCCATATACCACCACCTCAATAACTTTTTCATCATAAATACATATGTATATTACTAACTGTGTCTGTATAGATAAAGCACATGTGTTTAGGTATGCGAACGAATAAATGTAAAAAAGAAAACTTTTGTTATTGTTGTCAATATTAACATTATGAAAAAGTCGTTATTATTTCTTTACGCACCCTCTGCAATACAAATTCGACATTGTCATGACGATACTTTTTCTTTACTTCTTTTTTTCTCAGTATTTAAGTCTAAAAAAATATATATGTAAAAGAACTCTTTTAGAATTTATTTGTGTCTTTGAATGTTGGATTTAAGGCTTACATGCATAGACTCACACAATCTATAAACATTGATTTCCGTTTCCATATGTGCGGGTTTGATAGCATATACTGTAGACTAAAAGTGTCTGTGTGTATTTGTATGTATGCTTGAGAGTGTCTGTTGCCATAGTAGTGGTCTGTTTTTGTTAGCTGATTTTGTGATTTATCGCACATTTTTTCTACCTTCATTTATTCATTTCGCTGCAAGTGTTAAGCTGTGGGGTAGTACAAGAAGTGTTTATTTTATTTAATAATTTTTTTTCATCTCATGTTTCAGTTTTTTTCTATCAATGACTATTTTATTGGTTTGAATAATATAATGCTGATGTTTGTGCGTGTATTATTAAATATATTTCATTGCGTTAAAATGTGTGTAAATTTTTACGCTTAAAGGATTTCCTTTTTTATTATTTCATTCATTCCATTTTCTGCTTTGTAAACGTAGCTTCAGCACAAAATACAAAAGAAACAAAGTACAAAAGAATGTAGAAAAAAAACAAGCACAATCACTTTTTTTATAAAGGTAGCAGATGTAAGTTAATATTTTATCGCTTCCCAACTAAATTTATCAATTTATTGTGGCTGAAATTTAAATTTTTTTATTTGTAAACGAAATGAAATTTATAACATTACTTTAGCCTATTTTACATATAGCCTAAAGGTATATTGTATTCATTAAATTAAAGCACAGCCTTAAAATAGGCAACCCTTTTTCAATGTTTAATTTAAAAACCAGAAAAAGTGTTGGACTGTGTAATAAAACTTCAAGTAAGCGAAAAATTTCAATTTAAAAAAAAAAAAACTGTCTATGCTTAGATTTATGTTGCTGTGGCATATTGTATTACTATTACATTTTAACATCTGAAGTGAGTTATTGTAAAAAAGAAATTTATATATTTATTAAAAATAAACAATTAAATTAATTTAGATATTACTCAAGGAATACCGAAATAACACAATAAATAGTAATCTGAAGCAGACTAGAAGCAGTGTTAAACATATCATAAACAGTTTATATGGAGAAAGGAGAGCTTTTCTTTGTTAAAGAGAATTTTTCTATAGAAAAATCGCTCTCTTCTGTTAAGGAGAATTTTTCTATAGAAAAATCTTTCTCTTTGGTTAAAGAGAATTTTTCTATAGAAAAATCCTCTCTTCTGTTAAAGAGAATTTTTCTGTATACAAAAATTACTCTCTTTTTTCTATAGAAAAATCTCTCGCTTGTGTCAAAGAGTATTTTTTAGAGAATAATCGTTATCTTTTGTTAAAGAATTTTTTTAGAGAAAAATCACTCTCTTTTGTTATAGTCAATTTTTCAATATGAAAATCTATCTCTTTAGTTTCAGAGAATGTTTCTATAGAAAAATCAATCTCTTTTGTTAAAGAAAATATTTTATAAAAAAAATCTCTCTCTTTTGTTAAAGTGAATTTTTCTATAGAAATATATCTCTATTTAGTCAAAGAGAATGTTTCTATAAAAAATTTCTCTTTTTTGTTAAAGATAATTTTGTTTAGAAATAGCTCTCTCTATTTTTAAAGATAATTTTTTGAGAGAAAAATCGCTTTCTTCTTTTTCTATACAAAATTCCTCTGTTTTGTTTTCTATAGGAACATTTGTCTCTTTTTTGACAGCAATTTTTTCTATAGAAAAATCGATCTCTTTTGTTTTTATACCCTACACCGCTATTGGGTATTATGCGTTTGTGCTGATGTTAGTTATATTGGTGCTATACCAGCGAAAGGCAGAGAGATAGAAAAATCTATCTCTTTAGTTTCAAAGAATGTTTCTATAGATAAATCTCGCTCTTTTGTTAAAGTAAATATTTTATAGAAAAATATCTTTCTTTTGTTAAAGTGAATTTTTATATTTTTTAGTCAAAGAGAATTTTTCTATAAAAAATTTATCTTTTTTGTTAAAAATACTTTTTCTTTAGAAACAGCTCTCTCTTTTTTTAAGATATTTTTTTTGAGAAAACATCGATTTCTTTATTTTCTATAGAAAATCCCTGTGTTTTGGTTTCTATAGCAACATTTCTCTTTATTTTGACAGGGAATTTTTTTATAGAATCATCGATCTCTTTTGTTTTTATACCCTACACCACTATTAGGTATTATGAGTTTGTGCTGATGTTTGTAACACCCAAAAATATTGGTCCTACACCAGCCAAAGGCTGAGTGTAAAAAAGAGTTCTCTGACTGGTTTTGTTTGTTTTTTATACGTATGTGAGCATAATTACGCTTGAACGAAAGAGTACAAGAGAGCTCATTTGAGAACTCTTTGCGTTTCACTATCCTACACCTATTTTAAAGTATACCAATAGGTTCAGAATCACTTTCTGAGTCAATTTTGCTATGTTTGCCTGTCTGTCTTTCTGTGTGTCCATGTAAAGCTTGTGCACACGCTACAGGTCGAAATTTTCAAGATAATTTGATGAAATTTGGCACATACTCTTCTTTCGACCCAAGGACGAACGCTATTGAAATCGGTCCATTATTTCGCCTAGCTCCCAGTATGTCATCAAAAATCGGCAAAATTTAGTTTTATAGAAGTTTAAACGACATTGCTGATTTTTATAATGATCGGGCCTCATTTGACCACAGCTCCCGTACAAATTCCCCTTCAGAAAATGACTTGAAGGTCAAAATTCAATAACACGATAAAATTCTATATAAATAACTTTGATGTAGAGATTAATTCCTCTACCAACTTTTATAAGGTTAAGCCCATATTTACCCTCACCCCCTTTATAGTCCTCTTGTAGAAAATTTCTTTTTTTGTTAACAATAAGTAAAAAGGTAAAAATTAAATTAAATGCTTTATTATTTAAAAAATAATCCAAATTTTGGTGTAGGTTATCATATGGTCGGCCATGTCCGACTATCATTCATACTTCATTTTTAAATAATTTTTTTCTTTTGGAAATTTTCTATAAGAAGAGAGTGTTAACAGTCATGGAATGGTCCACATAGTTTCCCGACCTTTAATCGAGAAATCGTAGAACAGAAGATAAATCGAGAAGAGTTATATAAGTGAGAGAAAAATTGTTTGATAGACACTTAGTCGGATAGATAGATGGACGGATCAACAGATATACATACATACATGCCTAGCATCATCCGCATAACGCAGAAACTGAATACCTTTTTCGAACCCAACTAATATATACCAATCTATCCGACATGCATTTTAAAATCTTGCTATTAAAACCAACAAACCCGCTAACATCAAATGTCGCAAACTTCAAAAAGAAAAATTGCGATCAATTGAAATCGATCAAGTTTATAATTCATAGGCCCCTTAGTTCTTGCAATAAAAGTAATTGAAATTTATTTAAATAACCTTGATGTCTTTATAATAATAACAAACCCATAGTGCATAGTCATCTGCTATAATTTCACGGTCATAGGAAATGCGTAATTGAAGTGACTGCATTAGAATATTGATATAAATTTACATACTATCGTATATGTATGCACGTCTTATCTCTAATCCCCAAAGAATTATTAAACGGCAAAATACAAAAAATATTTTACACATTTATTTATTTAAATAAACTAAAATGTAATGCAAAACTATATAGTATATGATTGCAAGCAGGCATAAGAAATACTTTAAAGTCAGTTGTGGTAAGAAACAACAAAACAAAAATTTAAATAAATACAAATTATAATTGTTTGTTTTCTTTATTATTTGTTGATATAACGGCATATAATGTCATAATACGTAGACAAATAAATTCAGCAAAAAAATTAGTATAAATTAAATACTAATTACACTCTATGGTATATTTAAGTGTTTTTTTTTCGCAACCCTTTTACCCACAAACAAAACATTTTGTATTTGCAACTAATTATTGTATAAATTACACAAATTATTTTGATTTCCTCTAACGCCTGGCCCTCCTTACCTATCTATCGTATTATATCAATAAATATTTTCTTATGAATTTTGTATTACAAGAAGAAAACTAACAGGCAACTGAAGAAAGAGAGAAAACAATGCATTACTACTTACCGCACACTTTGGCAATGGCCCCTCCGGCATTTTCACTTTCCAGCCCAACAGCGGGGGTATGCATATCAATGCCGACATAATCCAAACGGCAGCAATCATTAAAGCTGCACGTGCCGGTGTACGTGACTTTAGATAATCGACTGCCTTCGTAATGCTCCAATAGCGATCCAGCGATATTAGACATAAATTCATAATTGAAGCGGTGCACAGCAGCACATCCATGGCTGAGTGAACATCACACCACCAACTGCCAAATATCCAATAGCCCATTAATTCGTTGGCCAAGGAGAATGGCATAATTATAAGACCCAGAAAGAAGTCAGCCACCGCCAAGGAGGCTATAAACCAGTTTTGTATATTCTTAAGGGATTTCTCGGTGGCAATGGCAATAATGACCAGCATATTGCCTACAATGATGACTATCATTAGTATGGTCACTATAATGGAGGCTATAACTATGTGGGTGAGTGTATAGCCACTCGGATAGCGACCATCCCAAACGACTTCGGTGATATTGCTGCCATTGAGGCTTGTGAAATTTTGATTGATTCCATTGTAGTTGCCATAGGAGGAGGTTAGATTTATGGTGGAGGTAGCACCATTAGAGCTGGTGGCATTATAAATATTTGATGTTAACAGGAAGAGTGTGTCGTTTATGTCGGCTCCCTCTAGGGGACTTTGTAAAGTGGAACCGGTGAGAGATGTATCTAGAAGACTAGTGACTGTATATTGACCATCTACGGTCAGTAAGGGCGGATTTAGTGTGGTATTAGCTGTGGTTATTGAACTATTAGCCTTATTTAAGTAGTTTTTTAAACCCGCCACACCACCTCCTCCTCCCCCTCCACCTGGGCCACCGCCAGCCTCATTAGTGGCCGCTGTTGAGGTGGAGGTAAATATGGCCAAGAAATCATCTGTGCTAATATTGCCGGTATTAAGGTTACTATCCAGTGGAGTATTGTAATCCATTTTGCTATTTTTTTTTATATTTTTTATTTTAGTTTAATATTCCTTTTAATTTGGTGTTTTGTTTTTTAATTTAATTTAACATTTTTTTTATTGCATTAACTTTTCTTGCTTGTTGGTCCCCTTTGTCTTTTTTAATAAATTTTATTTTAACATTTTTATTCCATAAAGCGTTTGGATTCTGTTTTCCGTGTTTTATTTATGTTAAATAATTTTTACAAATTTGTTTACACTACTTTATATTTTTGGCTTTTTTTCAGCCACTATTTCTAATTATAATTTAATTATTAATTTTAATATTTGCATAATTTTGTTATTTAAGTGTTTTTAATTTTGTTTTGATTATAAACAGTTTAGGTTTCTTTGTTATTAATTTAAACAATTCCATTCGGCGTTGATTTTATTTTACAAATTATTTTTAATATTTTAATTGTATTAATATAAATTTTATATCTGAAATTACAAGAAAAAAAGAAAGAATTTAATTTAGAAAAATTACTTCAAAGAAAAATAAAAGTATTTTTTTTTTTTTTTGTGTCTGGGTATTAATATTTTAAAGAAATATTTATTTACTTTCTTCTATTTTACATATTTTGTTAATAAATATTTATTTCTTCCTGAATTCTCAGCCAGCATGAAGAATATCATTACAATTACCAAAACATTTTCACAATTTATTGATTACTTTGTTACATTTTATTAATAGAAAATCATTCCAAACGTTTATAAAAATACATTCTGGAAAAAAGTACTAAATTGGTTACATAATGGATTTAAGTTTATATAAAATTTATTTATGCTGAATTTCATCGTAATATTAATGTAATTAAGAAAATTATGGAATTAAAGTCATTTGCTGAAGGAGGATTTGCATGGGGACTAGGGTCAAATAAGGTCTAATCAATACAAAAATCGGTATAAATGAGTTTGGTGTAATACCTAGTGTACTGTTTATTCTTTAACCAATACGGATATCTTTGACCCTAGTTCCCTAGTTCAGAAAATTACTTGAATTCAATAATTTTTTTTAATATCAATCTCACTATGAAATTCACCATAACGAGGGACTATATTCAATAGTCCCTATCTAAAATAATACAAGTTTTCAGGAGAGCAAAAAAACTGTTTATTTCGCCAGTTAGTGAAGATTTTTAAATTTTTTCTTCTACAATATATTTCTACGACCATATACTAAACCCTTATATAAAAAGAATTTTAAATTTTGCATTATTTGTAAAATTATTCACATATTTATATCAGATAGAGCTTATTTTTCTACGAAAATATTCATTCAACCAACAGATAGAGAGTTTTTCATGGAAATATAAAATTTTTATTTGAATTAAAATCAATAAATATTATATTTTATACAATTTAATGGAGGAAAATAAACCAAATTGTTGAAAAAGCAACAGATTATAATGTTTTGGTCCAAAATCAAAGTTATATGGTTAAACACGACAATAAAATTGATTTAATTAGTATCATAATGAGCGATATCTCAAAAACTATTAGACCGATTTTAAATATTTTGACGGATTTGTGTTCAGCATGTCCAAATTATTAAGAAGACTTGTTTTGCAATTTTTGGATAAGATAGAGAGTTTTGCATTCAGAATTTTTCTTTTTTTAAGATAGAGAAATTTAAAAAAAGCTATAAAATTGCCAAAAATTATTTTCTTTGAAATTTATATCACTGATGCGGGATAGTTTGCTGAATATTTTGCCATCAAAATCTCATTTTCATGAAAATGGCAGATAGCGACTATTGAATATAGTCCCTCGATAAATAACTTTTATATAAACATAAATTCTTCCACCATATTTTATGAGGATCGGTTTCTAATACATTAATATATAGTACGGTTCCTATATAAAATACTTTGAGAAAACATCTCCAAACTTGAAGAAGTAAGAAAGTATAGTCGGGCGTGACCGACCATATGATACCCTACATCAGTTATGAATATTACATGTGATTTATTTCTCATAATAAAGCATTTGTTTTCAATATTACCTTGTTCCGATACATTTAAGCAATTTATGGATGAAAAACTAGGGGCTAGGGGCAAATATGGACCAAACCCGATAAAGTTTTGTGAATGTATTTATATTTATATAATATTTATTTGTGCTGAACTTCATCGCGATATTTGTGTTTATAAGTTAATTTTGGGCATTCAAGTAATTTCCTGAAGGGGACTTTGTATGGGAGCTAAGGTCAAATGAGACCCGATGAAATTTGTGCGTGGTCATCAAGACTTGTATAAAACTTAGTTGTGCCGCTTTTTATCGATATACAGGTATATTTAACATAATTATGAGCTCAGAAGCCCTTTTCGGGGGGTTCTGTTGTATGGGGGCTAGGTGAAATAATGGACCGATTTTAACCATTTCGTGTGTGGCAAATTTCATCCAATTATCTTGAAAATTGCGACCTATACCTTGCGCATAAGGTTTACATGGACCAATATATCTCTCCACTAAAGTGTATAAAGGGTATAAAAACGAAATATGTTTGTCGATGAAATTCAGACATATTTCTCCAGGTTACTTAAACATCATATATGTCATTTTAAAGGCCTCAGCTTCTTCTTTCTAAATCCGTTACTGATTTTCGAGTATCCGTATCTCAAGATTTTAGAGGTGTTATAAAATGACAAAATATATAAAGTAAATATAGAATATTTTTATATCCAGCATTAAAAGAGATGGGGGTATATTGATTTTGTCATTCCGTGTGTAACACATCGAAATATTGGTCGTACAACCACAAAAGTATAAATTTATTATTATTAAATTCTAGGAAGATCTATCGATATCCGTTCGTCTATCTGTCTGCTGAAAACACCATAGAGTCTGAACCGAAAAAGCTATAGGGCTGAAATTTTCGTAGGTAAAATTTTTTTTGGTATTGAATATGGGCAATACCACGTTTTCAAGCCGAAATATAGTTTAATCCATCATAAAACATATAATTAGTCAGAAATTGCTGTGCTGAATCTTGTGACATAAAACTATTTTCCAGAAGGTATTCTGGGTAAAGTATGGCTAACATTGGTCTATGGTTAAGGTTAAGGAGCGCACAACAGGCCCGATAGAGGCCTAGGTGCATTTCTTCGGATTTGATGTATATACATCCTCCTTTCAAACTAACTAACATGGTATACTTTAATATTGAAAACAAATTAAAGTCGGTTGTCTATATTAGCTAGTTAAAGTCGTAGTCTGATTTAAATGAAATTTGATGGAAATATATTCCTGACTTTGTAGATTATGTCGACTAATTTTTTTCAAATTATATTGATAATTGTGACCAGTGGCGGACATTGTACTATGGGTCATAGAGTGATGCTGTGATAACGGGTATAATAGAAATGATTTATTTATCTTTAGCTGGCATTAGAATGAAAAATTGTGACATAATCTGTATCGAAATTAAAAATATTAAGATTTGAAAATATCATTGCAATAAAATAATTATGTACTATAGTTCGATGCAAATTATACAGAAACGGGGTTCTTAACTTGAGCCTCGATGCTGGTCCTGATAATTATTATACCCTTCAGTGATAATAGAGGGTATATATAAGTTTGTCAATCCGTATGTAACACCAAGAAATATTCATCTGTGACCCAACAAAGTATATATGTTCGGGGTCCTTATGAAATTCTGAATCGATTCAGAATATGTCTGGTTAAAACACGCTCACGTTAAATCAACCAAACTCACTGAAAATATTCACTGTTGTCCTAAACAGTTTTATATTGAAAATCAGCAAAATCGGTTCACAACTTAAAAAGTTATGAGTAAATATTTCAGACTACCTCGAAAAAAAAATTGAGTCATTTTCTAAATTCTTTAGTAGTTTTCTCAGAAACTACTGAAGATAATTCGATGAATTTTGTCACAGATTATTTTTTTCACCTAGAGATTAATTGTGTTTAAAATTGTAACAATCGCTCCAAAATTTCCCATAGTCCCCATACAAAGGTACATATTCCCGGATATTAATTTATCGTTAATAACTTCTTCAACTATATCGGTATCATCACATGTACATATCGACATAATATGAACAGGAATCATATTACAGACTTAGATCTATATCGGTACACATTTGGTCAAAGCTCCCATATAAGGTCCACATTTGAAAATCACTTATACGAACTTAATTCATAGATAAATGAAGCTATCTGGATAAAATTCGACATGAATATGTTTTGTCTATATATGAATTACTCTACGAAATTTTTTCCGAATCAGTCCATAATTGGTCATAGCTCCCACATAAGGTCTACATCCGAAATTCACTTAAATGCGCATAATTCATTGATAAATAAAGCTATCAAGGTAAAACTCGAATTGAATATGTTTTGTATATATGTATATATATAAAACATTCAACGAAATTTTTTTCGGATCAGTCCACAATGAGTCATAGCTCCCATATAAAATCAAATTTAATAAAATTCTACAAAAAGTAGCTTACAGGTGGAGGGTATTTAAGATTCGGCGTAGGCGAATAAAGCTTTCTAACTTGTTTATCCTTAAGTGAACTAACTACCGGTATGTATCATATTAAAAGAAAATATATATTCTTTTGGATTTTTATAGGATTTTTTTTTAAATCAAAGCGTTTTATAAACAAATTTAGGAATTTTTTTGAAACAATTAATCCAAATTTTCAACTTTGAGTGCTTATAACTTCCCGATAGAACCACAATTGGTCTTAAATTTTCGCAGTTATATAAACTTAAATGTTATAAATACAATGACATTAAAGAAATATATTTTGCAAATAATATTTTAGAGCGAGGTCGATAAAACCAGGGTTAATGCAAAATTTTGAATATTTCAGAAACTCGACTTGATATAAAGGAATGAATAGCAGATAAAGGTTTTGTATATTAATATCTTAAATTTTATTATAATTTTTCCCAAATTAGGATTTTATTTCAGTGTTATCAACAGAGTAAATGAAACAGCGAACTGTGATAAAATTTGTTGAATTAGCTGCCATTGTTTTGGGAATAACTAATCAAGAATGAGAAAAAAAAACGTAATATTTTCAAGGGTTGGAAACTTCTCGAAATCATGTCTGATAAAATTATTTAAGAATTGGATGCCGCATATATCTAAAGCAGAGGAGCTCAAGACTGCCATTACATAGCACGCGTGATAGGGTAAGAAAATTCTGCTGACGCTAAGTTGATACACATACACTCAGTGTGACCAGGTCGCAAAAAATGTTGCGGCTAAATCCCATCCAAAATAATGCTAGGAAAA